GAGTTGATGTAATCTAAATAATTTTCTTTCCGTTTTTAGGTATCGAGTTTAATGTTAATGAAGAAGAGTATTCATTCTTCAATGGAGAGGTGCAAAGTCAACGTGCCTCATGTTCGAATGGTAATGTATTTATTTAATCCCCTTCTTCCTTATTGGCTTTTAATATAAGAAGTTGTAATTCCAGATATTGTTTGAATTACTAACAACAGTGAGCCTTTGCAAACTAAGCACTTCTCGACCGTTGCTTGGTCGCGTCCATATTATTGTTGTTAACAAGAGCAGCAGAGGTGTGAAGTCTAAGGATTAAAATGGCATTCTAATTAAAAGAAAGTGTGGCATAATCGGAAACAGCTCCAATGCTGGCAACGTATTTACTTCATTGCCATATTCCATAGCAGCTTATACTTTCAGGCGGATTATAATTTCGTGTTAGCATTCTAGATTCTATAAATCGTGCTTATGTAAACTTGGACTGTAATCACTCTCCTCGTCTAAGTTTGTCATTTTACATTTATCAGTGTACTGCAGCGCGTAATATAACTAAATAATATTAATTATTCCGTTATTAAGATCGAATTCAATAACATCGCACCAGTGACAATGAAGCTCGGCTTACGGAAATTGTTTATATGTCACTTAACAAGTTGCTGTTAGGTTTTCAGAGAAAATATCGTAATTATAAACACAGTGCACAAGAAGGTGGACAATTTAAACAGATTACGTAAATGTATCGACAGTAACTTCAGAGATTGGACAGCCGACCATCATTTCCCAGTTATAATCAAGGCTCCGTTCAATGGACGAATCACTTGATTTGCCGTATAAAGTATTTTAAGAAAGCGCGAAAATGGTAATTTAGGTCGTGCCTACACTTATACTTTGTTACAGCCACAGAAGAACAGAACAACCCTGACGTCCTAAATCAATACGAGAAAATCGGTGTTCTAGGTAAAGGTGGTAAGTACAAATTTCAGTTAATAGATGGCTAATTAGCTGTTAATTCCTGTGCTTGTTACACTTGATCTGATTCTCTGAACCCTTATGGATCGATCTGAAGAGTAGTAGTTAAATTAAAGCAAAGCATCCCGCTACATTCCAATGTGGTCTCTTTGGGGGGAAGCGGTGGTATAGATCCTACTCTTTCTTAGCAGTGGTGGTGGTACTAATGGTGATGTTGGTATTAGTATTAGTAGTAGCAGCGATAGCAGCAGCTGTTGCTCTGGAGGAAAAGTAATTTCATCTCGCCTTCATGTTACGAACAATCACAATAAATTATACGTACGAAACTGTAGGCTTTTAAAGAAATTAAACATCGATTTGAAGTGTTACTGCGTACAAAAATCTGTAATTATGAAAAATCGATGTATATTATAACACTCTTAAATTCAGAGCCATATCTTCATCAATGTTCAGTCGAAAACCTTTCGTCAGAATTACCGAAGATCTTTTGCGTTCGATTTCATTTTTCCTTTGATGGCTAAGTGTTCTTGAATGTCTTCTCAGAAACGTGGTTTGGCAAAAGCGAACCGTTACCAGTGCCTGTTTGTTATCTAAATATTTTCTCACTGAGCGACTGGGTGACATTTTGTCTGCTTCATGATTTACTAGTGGTGGCGCAGGTGAAGATCCTCGAATACCTAACCTCATTTAGAAAGGTGGATTCGCACAATTACCGAGCAGAATTTGCCACGGTTTTTTCAGCGAATAAATGTGAAGATTGTAATATAGTTATTATATATTATATTGTATTACATAGACAAACCACCATCTGTGAGAGTGGCTACGCAGTCTTGGGTATAATCCTTGATATCGCTCGACGCTGGGACCGTGGGTTCGAATTCCACTCTAGGCACTACTGTTAATGCACGTTCTGCGTAGGTAGACGCCTTGCTACGGACTCCTTACTCGTTCAAGGAGTCCTACCATATATCTAATTAGATCTCCCTTGTGTGTGGAGGTCAAGGTCCTTGAAGGACTGTAGAGCCAGAAAAGAAAAAAGCCAGGCACCATAAATCGTGTTTACAACTAGATTAAATAATGAAATTCTATTTCATCAATGATAATGACCAAAGCATGTCTGGTTTTTAATGTTTTAATAATTAATAATAACCAGTCTGTGGTAAAGGATGTTGGTGCCTATTCTTTGTTTACAGCTTTTGTCACAATGCAGGGTAATTCTTTTATGTGTTGCAATTATTCAAATCAAAAATATGTTAACACTAATAGAGAGTGCTAATTAGTGCTTGTTGAGTAGTAAATAGAATCTGTGTTAATGAAATTTCTTTTGATCATGAAATATTGTTGTCGCAGAACCTAAGTAAAGAATTCTAATTTTTATGAAAGGAGAGTTTACAAATATGACAGCCCATTATTAAACAGATACCAAGATAAGACATCGGAGATTCTGTTACAGGATATGGGAAAGTGTATCTTGTCCGTAAGAGGGGTGGCGCGAATGAAGTCCAGGTTTTCGCAATGAAGAAATTGAGGAAGGGATGTGATACGTTTGATATAGAGCGTATGGTGTCTGAGAAAGTATCAGGATATCCATTTTTGGTCAGCCTTTGTCGCTCTTTCAAGACGAACTCTCATGGGTACCTGGTGATGGGTAAGTACATAAAACACTATATGTATGATTGGAAGAGGACTCTAACTCCACATGCAAGGAACTCCCTGACTGGGGGAAGAGTCTGTTGCCTCCTGCTAATCTATCTGTCAGTTTGCAGTCCTCCGCAGAGCTTTACTTTGCAACAGCATTGTTGTAAAATTGAATGTATAATGCTAGTATTTAATGTCCTGTAATAGCATTAACAAAGTCATGTTATTGTTGCAGATTACATGGAAGGTGGAGACCTGTCAAAACTCATAAAAAAGAAACATACCCTTACAGAGGATGAAGCTCGATTTTACCTTGCGGAAGTTCTT